CCCTGAACCCCCTAAACCCCCTGAACCCCCTAAACCCCAGAACCCCCTAAACCCTGAACCCCCTAAATCCCAGACCCCTAAACCTTCAGTACTGCCCCCCCCTCAGTAACAGTTGGATAATAGTTATAGTATGGTTATTTATAGCCCTTAATAGGACCCCTAATGTAGACTGTTACTGGGAGGGGGCAGTACCCAACCTAAACCCTGAACCCCCTAAACCCTAAACCCCCAAACCCTAAGCCCCCAGAACCCCTAAACCCCAGAACCCCCCAACTTCCTCGTCTCTGTCGACCTCGAGCTCCTGGAAAGTGCTTCGCAGCTCCCCGGGCTTCAGAACGTGCGCGGGGTCCGAGGGATGATGGCAGCCTCACATAAACCAGGTAGGTAGGGGTAGGGGTTTAGGGTTTAGGGTTTGGGGTTTAGGGTTTAGGGTTTGGGGTTTAGGGTTTAGGGTGTATAATCCCCCCTTAAGTAGATAGAATATGGGGTATATGGGGACTATAGGTAGGGGTGGCATAGAGTTCAGAGTTCAGGTTAAGGTCTAGGATTTAGGGTTTAGGAGGTATGGGTTGAGCCAGCTCCCCTAAACTCCACACCCTACAAACCTAACTTGGGGTTTTGGATTTTCGGCGTGGGGCGCAGGATCTCACTTGCCAGATAGGGGTTCATGTCGTCCGCAATATGGGACTTGGTAACAGGGTTTGGGGTTCCCACCCACGAACAGTCTATGATGGGGGTCATATTAATGGCTGTGTATATTCGTATGTCCCACTTTTACTGGGTGGAATCAGTAGGTCAACCCATGCCAACCACACCCCCTATCCCCTGGGCCTTCGATCCTTGTGAAGTTCGCACAAGATTAAGTATAATTGTTTATGCAGCCCCAACCTGAGCATGTGACAAAATCTTATAGGTCCTTCGCAATAAGCTGGGATTCTCAACCATCAGCGAGACAAATCCCCAAAGACCACACTGTCGGTACATTGCCCAGCTGGCGCGGCACCGTGAACCCTAGACCCAAAGCCTCGAAACCTAAATGTTGAACTCACCCCTCAAAAAGGACTACCATTCAGAATTTAGAGTGCTTCATTGAGCTTCGTCCTGAATCTCAAGAAAAATTCAAGGCTCTTGGGCTAAACCCCAAACCCTACCTAAACAGACTTGTAGATTTGGGGCGCTGGAATTAGGCATTCCTGGTGGCCAGCCTTCCATGAAGGTATGGAAGAGGAGACGTCCTTGCAGGGTGCCACAATGGGCTTAAAGCCCAAAGACCATTGAAAAACTCTGTAGGGACAAATGCGCCATCGTCTAAACTCCTAGTTTTCCCCTAAATCACCCCTGTAATACTCCCCAGGATAATCCCCTATATAACCCCCTTTGAGGAGTATAGCTCGGGGTTTAGAAGCGGGGAATGGGTGTCTCGAGAAAAGATTCTGTAGTGATCAGTCTGAGCGACTTCGAGACCTAGAGGTTTCTAGGTAGAGTTCCTCTCATGTTCAAACCATGGGCCACCAGTATGGGCCCCTTAATCCTGGGGACCGTATATACACAGTATATACCATGTGTATATATGCATATCCCGACGCCAAACCCCGCATCCCTGAATCACAAGCCCTAAACCCTAAACCCTGAACCCTGAACCCTAAACCCTAATCTTGAGGAAAACTACAGCCCCAAGCCACCTCCTGGCGCTAGCAGCTTCGGCATGTCGCCCAACGTAGGACGATGGAGGTGACGATTGACCTCTAGGTTTGAGGTTAAGGGTTTAGGGTTCAGGGTTTGGAGTTTAGCGTGTAGGGTCTGAGGTTTGGAGTTTAGGGCTTAGGGTTTGGCGTTTGCAGTTTAGAGCTTGAGATTTGTTAGGGCTTGGGCGTGTGGCGTAGTGTGCAGCTGGTCGGAATCTGGCTCAGATTTCTAGGAATCTAAATGATGTGAACATTTCAACAAAGATTTGCAAGTGTTCAGGCTTAAGTTGCCAGGCCTGTAAGGGGGGGACGGGCGCTTGTCTTTTCAGGCCTTGGGCTTGGATTTTGAAGGGTTAGTTCCTGTGGCTCGTGGGATATAAAGCTTCTAGTTACATTATAGATCCTCCTAGGGGTCTGGAACTGTCTGCTGAGCTTCATTTTGAGGGTTTAGGGCTTAGGAACCAGCAGCAGCTTTCAGGGAGCACGCTGCAAGATGCCCCCTACACATTATAATCCCCTCGCCCTAACATAAAACCCCCCACCCGCCAGCACTAAATCTTCCGGGTATATTAAAGTATGCCACAATGGGAAGAGTCAATATTAAGGGGTTGGAGTTTTTAGATCGGGGGAGCGGACTAGTTGGTTAAAGTTTGTATTCCCCACGGCCATATTGAGACCCTAAACCCCTGAACCCTAAACACAACCTACAAGAACCCCAACATCAACCATATGAACCATAGTCTCAACTCCTAATATCCCCCTTGATATCCCTATATGTGTCCCCCTTTAAGGAGTTTAGACCCTAAATCCTAGACCCTAAAGCCTATATGAACCCCACTGTATCTGCCCGAAGATCAGCCAAAAGACCATGACCAAGTGGAAGGTACCCAGAGACCTTGAGGGCAGAGCCAGGGCGTAGGGCTACGATGCTACTTACAATTTCGGGTTTCAGGTTTAAGGTTAAGGGTTGTAGGTTTAGGGCTTAAGGTTTATAGGGTTGAAGGTTTAGAGTTTAGGGTTTAACGTTCTTCGCGATTTGTTTGGGCCCCCTGGGCCTGAGCGAATGGACCTGTTTGAATCCACTCTGAAAAACAGCTTCCCAGCCCTGCCCCAAAGAAGTTGCTTATGCTAAGCACCAAATCCTACACCTTGAAACACTAAAACCTTAAACCCCAAACCCTGAAGCGCTAAACCCAAAAAACCTTAACCCTGAAACCCTAAATCCTGACAAGAGAGGCCTCGGAAGTATACCTTTTCTGGGAATCTCCGATAAAGGGTTTGGGGCTAGGGGCTCCAATCTTCTTCCACAAGATGAATGGAGTAGGGATCTCGAAGCCCTTGGCAACTACGAGAGAAAAAGCCTATCACACACAAACTGCTGTCTTCAATTCAATACTGGAGAGATCCGGAACGATCTACCCCTGCGATGTTCTCTAAGTTTCTACCGCTGAGGCTTGGTTCTGCGATTCCTGCTTTAGGGTTTAGGCTCTAAGTTATAGGTGATACGTGTAAAGGCTCACTAGAGGCAGCAGAAACATACATCATGCCGCCTAACAACCAGCAAATGAAATCCCAACTTTCCGAAACTGCAACATCTGGGTCCTCACTGCATACAAGAGTATATACTGTAATGCTCGGCTCTTATAGTCCCATATTATAACATTGTCATAAGGAAGTCTCTCCGAATAACCCCCTAGCAATCCTCTTACAATCCCTATAATATGTGCCTTGGGTCTTTAGGAACCTCCATTTTGAGACCCTGAACCCTGAACCCTAAACCCTGAACCGTAACCGTTAAACCCTAAACCTTTTCTTAGCTGTACTATCATTTTGTCACCTTACCCGGTCAAACTGAGAATGCCCTAAGCCGAGCTTCTCTGGACCCAAAGCGGCAAGCAGATCTCCAGCGGCCTCAAGGCCCCACGGCTAGGGGTTTAGGGTTTAGGGTTTAGGATTTAGGGATTAGGGTTTAGGGTTTAGGGTTTAGGGTTTAGGGTTTAGAGTTTAGGGTTTAGGGTTCAGGCTTCAGGGTTTAGGGTTCGGGCTCAGGGTTTTGGGGTTTATGGGGTGTAGGATGGTGTAGGGTTTAGGGTATACGGCTCAGGGCCCCCAACCTAGCATGGATCCCATCAAAGGGCTTTATAGGGATTTTACAGACGGTCTATAAAGATATGTAGGGATGTATACGGCTTAAATCGCTAATTACGGAGGAACCCAATATAGCCCGTGTTTCAGAGGGGCAGAGGTCTACAAAGGGGTGCCTTCTTCAGCTGCCCTGTTAGCTTGGCGGAGTTCAGGGTTCACTCACAACTGTGGCTACGGCCAAGGGCTTTACTTGGAGGGTTTTAGGTGGGACCGGAGCAGTGGAAAACAAAATGGAAATTGCTACAATGTGGAGGGCTTAGGGTGTTAAATGTAGGGGAGCAAATCTATAAACCCCAAAGAACATCGTGTAGCTTTCAAGATGAGCTAGTGGACTGGCCTCCGACTTAGCATGCCGAATTTCAGAACGAGTCTTTAGACACGAGCCCCTAAACCCTAAACCCTAAACCCAAGCCCTAAACTTTAAACCACAATTGAAAGAAACAAAATCCTAACAGCCCCGCAAAAGTCGTCCACGGCCTCAAGGGTGCAGCGGCGAACATGGCACCGATCTCCACATCCCTGCGGGCTGACGGTCCCTTGGGGTTTAGGGTTTAGGGCTTAAGGTTTAGGGTTTAGGGCGTGCCAGACGGAAGGCGCGCTTCGTGAGCGCATGTTAGTCTCCAGACTAACCCACAAGGCCACCCAAATACTACTCCCATGGCTGTGAAGGTTTTCAACTATCTTCTAAACATGGCCTGGCTCCACCCCCCACCCCCCACCCCTCTACCCCTCCACCCCGGCATCAATGTGCGGCAACAAAAAGGAGCTGGGCCCCCTGGTCCCAAACTGACAGAACTATGCACGCACCATGGCTCCCATTTAGGGTTTAGGGTTTAGGGTCATCACGCCACCAAGACCACCCATTTATTACTTTCAGGGGCATTGGCTGCTCTTCAAAGTTGCCCATTTCCCCATACCGAAACGCATCACAAATACTTTCAAGTTTGTGCTCGGGGACGGTCTGGGCCCAAGGGCCCCGTCATAGATTGTCATGTGGGCTGCCACCAGATCTGAAACAAATATAGAGTTGGCATGAGGGGACCTTCGCTTCGGCCCTCTCATAGTTCCAGCCCGCCGTGAGCCACGTCCTGCCCTGCAAGAAACTAGGGTTTAGGGCAAAACAAAACTTCCTCCCAGTGAAAAGGCCTCACACACCCTGCCGCCTTCACGCAATTAAAGGCTTAAAGTTTATGGCCTGACAGAACTAGGCTTCAGGGTTTAGGATTTAGGGTTTAGGGCTTAGGGTTGAGGGTTTAAGGTTTAGGGTTTTGGGTTTTGGGTTTAGGGTTTAGGGCTGCAGTTCTCAGGGCCAACCCCAAGCGTGAGTCCCCCTGTTTCAACTCTCCTCGCTGAACCCTAAACCTTCTGCAACCCAATAAAGACCCCATTTTGGGAAAGCCTCGAATAATTCAACACTTTGCCCATGATTCGTTCACTTTGTTCACTTCTCTCTTTTCCTTCACTCGCTTACCAGGATTCTTTCACCTTGGCGTTTGAACTGGGCTCGTGGTCTTCTCTCCCTTACTCTTTTAATTACGTTCACTGCGTTCGTTTCCCTCACTCCGTTCTCTAATTAAAAGGAGTAAGTGAAATGAGTGAAATGTGTGAATGTGATGTGAAGAGAATGAAAAGAACGAAACAAACCTCACACGTGAACTCATAAGCGAACGACAGGTGAGTTTCTTGAAGGTAAAAGGCTTAGGACCATTAGTATAAGCTCTTGGAAAAGCCTGATGGTAAAATTAATAGCGGTTACCAAAATATATTCTGAATCTCCAAAATATTCTTGTAGACATCTTTCTTTCAGCTAATAGTAATCTTTGGTAGACAAATTAATTGTGTGAAACGAGTGAATGGTGAATCCTAATACGATTAATTGTAGGTCCTAAGGAAGCGAGGTCAGTCGTCTAATGCCAATACAAATCCCAATACATTTATATTAGCGTAAAGCCTATACCTACCCCTTTTATTGCAGGAGTCAATAGAATTGTATTCGCATTCTAGTATCCACGTAAGCCTGCAGGAAATTCCTGTAGAACCATTAGAAGGAGTGGTCAATCTTAGGCTTAGCATTGCAGATTTCTGATACATTTGTATTACCTACAGGCTTTGTTTTGTTCACTAGATACAGAAATTAGAACTACATGTATTAGCTAATACAAATAATAGTAATCTCAGGCTTTGCAAGGGTAACACAAGCCAGGCTCTAATACAAGTCTATAGGAATCTTCTGATGGTGATACAAATTTTCTTAAGGATCTCTAAGGCTAGTATGGGAGAATTGTTCATGCGTACGTGAGTTTCTTCTGTGATTTCATTTCGTTCACTAACTGAATTAATTTGTGAGTGTGAACTGATTGAATAAGCGAACGAAGTAAGCGAAATGAAATCACGGAACTCACGAGCGCAAAGGTTATGAATTCACGTTTATTTGCTCGTTTCGTGAATTCATTTGTGCGTGTGTATGCGTGAATTAAATTATGCGTGAAGAAATGAACTTAATTCACTTATTTTATGAGTTTTCGTTCACTTTCTCTTTTTCCTTTGCGCGTTTAATTGCGTGCGCTTCCACGACCAGAAAATAAACTAAACGCGCACATGAAGGAAGAAAACGGCCTGGCGATACAATCTGCTAATACAAACGTACTACCGCTTTAAGAATGTCTGGCTTGTAGCCTTTAAAACCCCACAGCCTAAATCCAAAACTTTAAACCCTGAACCCTACACCCCAAATGCTATTCCCTAAACCCTGAATCCTATACCCTAAACCCTAAATTCTGAGTCCCCAAACCCTTCTTTAGGCAACTACCGTACAAGAATGCTTTGAGCTGGCAGTGCCTGGCGCTCCGCCAGTCGTCTCAGGCGATCCAGGCCACGACGATCGCGGTCCAGCGCCATTACCTGCATTTGTCTTAGGGCTTAGGGTTTAGGGCTTATGTAGGCTTTAGGGTTTGGAGTTTGGTTTTCTATTGCCTCGAACTTTTATGTCGACATTCTGGTAACATGTAACACACCGCCCCCAAATGCATAAGGTCCGGGGCGGGGGGAAGGGTTAATATAGCATGATTGAGGGCTAGTAGGGAGCAGAGGAGCGCATCCCCGAAGTAGCCCCCTATGATCCCCAAGAACATAGTCATGTCTGTTTTCTTTCCATTTCTTCCAGTACGTCTTGTAGTGATTCTGCTTTTCTCCTCTACGTATACCCCCCCATCTCAACTGTGTGGATTTGGAGTTTGGGGTTTGGGGCATGGCATGGAGCGGGTTTGGGGTGTGTGGGTTCCCGGCTACTCAGGACGAACAGGGTCGAGAGCTTAGGGCTTAGGATTTTAGACAGGGCTTGAAACTGAAGATTTCCAGTGCTATTGGTCTGAAGGGGAGGCCCTACACCCTGAACCCAAGTTCAAGGATTAGGATTGACGAAGCGCAACCTCTAAACCTCTACTACTTCGATGTGATACTGGAAGAAATGTGTTGTGAGCGGCGTGAAGTTGCTTGAGCATAAGATGCCATGCTGTGAACTCGCATGGTGCAATCTGAGCTGCCGATCTTCTAGCTATACTGCCCTTCTGTCAGCGTTTTGTGTAGCTGCACGCGGTTCTCATTCTCCCTTTTTTATGACACCAGTTGAGCCAGATGCTACGACGCTTTGGTCGTGCTTAGCTGCCAAAGGCGTGCTCTGAAGAGTTCTTCCGGCAAGGCCATCTTTGAGCCGAGCCGCAGAGACGGATGATTGCGGCCAATGAGGCCGGGTCCTGTCAGCAGCAAATGGCTAGGTCAACAGACACAGGCTTAACTTGAAGCAACAGCTCCCACCTGCTAGAACCCTGCGGCCTGCAAAGAGCTCATCCTCGTCCAGAACTTCTTTGTCAAGAAGGAGGACGATGTTGCAATCCTTCGGGACCTGACATCAGTTAATGACGCTAGAAGCCAACCATGGGTCTGTCTGCACCTCCGGCTATGCAATGTGGGGAACACTATGTCGCCCACATACACGTCTTCCATGACCTCAGAAGGTACACATGGTTGGAAACGCCTAAGAAAAGAGACGGCATGTGAGCAACAGCGCTATTGTTTCCGAGGCAGGCGCCGACCAGCGGTGCTGGGTGAAGACATCTCCGGCCATGCTGCGCGTTTCCACGCACGGCCCTCCTGACACAGGCACCGAAATCAGAGACGCCTTGACGTGTCTACCAAGCGTCGGGAACACACATCCGACCCCGCCTTGCCAAAGAATCGGACCTGGAGCACCGCCGTCGGCGTCACATCGGCCATGCCTTCAACCTAACACAGCGTTATCCAACAGCTTAATAAACAAGTACTATATATATATACATATACATATACACATGCATGGTTGGGCACGTGAGCTGAAATGCAGGCCTTCTCCTGTGCAGTCTGAGTAGACAAATGCCGTAAAGACTCGAGATCAAACAGCTCTGGGAAATGTGAAGGTGGACCAAACTCCTTTTGAGGGGTTTTGGAAGGGGTGCAGAGCTCTACGACCCTTCATATAGGTGGAACAAACTCCTTTTGAGGGGTTTGGAAGGGTTGGAAAGCTCTATGCCCCTTCATATAGGTGGAACAAACTCCTTTTGAGGGGTTTTGAAAGGTTGGAAAGCTCTACGACCCTTCATTTAGGTGGAGCAAACTCTTTTTGACGGGTTTTGAAGGGTTGGAGAGCTCTACGCCCCTTCATATAGGTGGAACAAACTCCTCTTGAGGGGTTTTGAAGGGCTGGAGAGCTCTACGACCCTTCATTTAGGTAGGACAAACTCCTTTTGAAGGGGTTTGAAGGGCTGGAGAGCTCTACGACCCTCCATATAGGTAGAACAAACTCCTATTTCTCAGATGCGTTGTTCACTCTCGAGAATGTAGGTTGGCTAGCGTTGGTCTCTGCGCATGCAAGAGGGCAAGTGGCTCTTTTTTTTGTCTCGACTGAGGCAAAGGATCTAGTGGGCTCATACGCGCACATCTCAGACTTGGGCTGCATCACAAGCTTCCTTTATGGCGTTCTGCAGGTTTGCGTTGGAGATGTCTGTTTTTCGACGGAGTCTGAGTTGAGGGGCTCTTCGTCTGATGGATCTCGACCATACGATGGCACCACTTGCTGGGATGTTTGGCATGCCCGGGAAAATCAGCCGGACTTTCTGCTGTCGAGATACCAGTTGATTGCCTTTCACCACTAGCTTGTGTACCTTGCTGGTGAGGCATCGCAGGGTGACCTGCCGTCGCTCCAGCGTGATGGTGGGTACGCACGACGTACCGCTTATGGTCATGAAGCTGGCTTGCAGCGTGTCCCGGTAGGCCCTCAAGCTGCATTTCAGCACGAGTGTGCCGGTGGGGGTTGGTCTCACCACCAGTGTGTGTGACTTCAACCCGGCTCGTGAGGGCCATGCAAAGAAGGCACCACAGCCCCGGAGCGCAAGTAGAGGATCCATGGGATCCGGAAAATTATCGTTGTCGGCAATGAGGCAGCCGTTTCTGACACGAGCTCGTTGCCAGGCTTGAGCGGGCAAGCT